TTTCAAGTACAGCAGTTTAGTTAATACTTTTTTCCATCTCCATATTCGACTTCAACTACCTCTCGTATAAATCTTAAGACACCTTACAAACTTCTTACTATGAAAACATTCACAACAAGTTCATGGTCCAGGTTTCATTACAAATGATCATCTAGTACAGTGGGCAATCTAATGAAGTAGAGCATATTTTAAATCACACAGGTTGTGATGGCGGAAGCGTAATGTTCCGCATGTTTGACTCGTTGTGTCAATATGTAATGACTCGGAGCAGACTGATACTAACACAACCTTCAGAAGTAACTGTACACCTTTGATCACAACACACAATTGACACAATAATCATTAGGGTTCCCTGAGTTACAACAAACACCATGCTTTGATTGTTCCTGGTCCTTTTATTGAGAAAAAATTTAATGTTAGTTTTATTTAGAACCAGATTATAGACACAAATATCTGCATGATCAAAACAAAACGTATTTTATATATGTTTCATAATGATATAAGTTTTATATTCGAACTTTGCTTTAATTTTTTTACACGTCTTATAAGACCACATAAATTCGTAAGCAAAAACATGGTTAAGCAATTAACCAGATTATAATTTCGATGCATCTTAGTTGGCTTAATGTCTTCCGTAAAAATGTTAACAAAGATTCAGTTTTCCTGTATATCGTGTTACAATGACGATCAGTTGTATGTGTGTGTTATATTTAAGGTTTAGCGTACAGTGGTAGTAATTGGGTCACGGTGTAATGAGGTCGCCTGCCACCATGGACATCTTACGGCTGCCATCGTTATAGTACTACGGGGAATAAGTTAACGAGCACTCATTCAAACGAAGCCATCCCAGCGATCTTTATAATGATCCCAACGATCAATGTTTTGTTCGCAGCCTCACCGGTTTCCAGGCATTGTTTGATGCAATTATTGATGGTGTAATAGGCACGATAAAACAATTTGCAATATACGTAGCTTGCTAAAAACTCTGGTATTCTTCATACTGCATAATTATATTCCGTTTGCAAGAAAGAGACCCTTACTTTAAATAGTAAGCTCAACCCAAGTTAGCATCGTAGCTCTACATTCGGAGCGTTAACAGTTTTTCACATAGTATTAGGGATTAACGGATTAAGGAGTCAAATTCTACAGTAGGTTATAGAATGAGAAATAGGACCACATACATATTTTTAACAACAATAATGTATATATGTAAGAACAGTAGTGCAACAGCAGCTCTGTCCTCTGAATATAAATTGTCAAACATAGTTCATTGCCATCAATAAGAATTAAACATTCATCTGTTAATATAACGGTTCAGAAATCAGTGTCCAATAATTAGCAGTGTTCGACATTACCACGGTTAAAGAAAAACAATTTCACATAAAAACTAACTACTATTTATATACGGAAATTAGTTAATACGAACTGAAATTATCGACGGAAATGTGGAAAATAATAATGGAAATAATGACCGTAACTAAGATTACGGCCGCGATAGTGACTCGCCGCGTGTTCGGTCGATACACACTTATATTAATATTAGCCACGCGCCTCATGACGATACATGGACTTCATTGACGAGTAAGGTTTAACTTTGATACTGCACATTCATATATCTATAGTTTAATCCGATAACACTTACGTAGGCTTTGATAAATGAAAATAAAATATGAATTTTCAAGACATATCTAACCAGGCTGGGATTTTAGTCTCATAGATTTTAAATTTAAGATTAAGTTAAACAGGCGCACAACAAAATACGAGCATTATTGTTTGTATGAGGTATTGTTTATCAGTTCTTTTCCTGTGCATGTAGTTAAGTGTTATATGTATTCTAGATCATTCTACTTTTAATCCATAAATAATATATATATTTGTAAAAATACAAACATCTGCTAGCAACGTATAAAGCCAATTCTAATTGAATTGAAGTTTTTTTGCTTTTTGTTATTTTATTGTACTTCAGTTACAGTTAAAAAACTAGTGTAGTAAATCAATTAAACAATATAGGTTTAATTGTTATATGGATAGGGTAAGCAGTGTTTATTTGCATCTATTTCGTGCATCCAACTGGTAAAATAACCCAAGGCATAAATGAATTTTAGTTTATAATATGTTTATATAGAGGTCGCTCTGTGAGAACGAACGCCCCTGGTCCACTTATATCATTATATTTGACAATGCCTCATTAACTCTGTTCATATCAGAAATGTTTTAATGTACGACCATTAAAGGACAATGGACGCGATGTTATTTTGTGTTTTTATTATAAAATATAATATAAATAGGGATTTTTTTTATTTTTATTTACATTTTTTACTTTAAAATCCGTATAAAATGAGTTTGTTTAGTTGGGGATCTTTACCAGTAGCGAGGTCTGTAAATCGATTAGACTTAAAGAAACCGTAAAGGTATTTAATTACTCAATAACGTTATATTTTTATGACCCGATCGATTGTTCTGTTATCGCGCTTCCTCTATTGTCCGCTTTTTAATTTTAGTTTCAGAAGAAACGCTTCAAACAATTAAACAAGATATTTATGAACTACATCCTAAAATTATACCTACATTGATATGTACAAATAGGTATTCAAAGTACATCTGGCAGCTTAATATTTCCATACCTTAAAAGAGAATTAAATAAGGCAAGAACCAGATCTCTCAATATTGAAGAAACTCCTACTTCTTTTCAGTTAGACGATGCTGTTTCAATCTTTTTGAGGGTTGTCTAAAACATTTATTGCTAATTTACATTTATTTAATTTCTCATGTTACTTCTTCATCAGTACATAAAATATATACATATTACTATATGGAATAATCTGCAAAATATACGCATCACGGCAGAACAAAGTGTGGTTTCATGAACTCACGATGGAAATGACACTTTTCGGATCGTATGAATTTAATGAAATTTCAGTTTAAATTTTTCCAAACCATTGTTTTACATAATTTTGGAAACTACCAATACTATACGCCGTCATAAAGAAACATAGACTAATTACAGCGATACGAAATTTGAATCACTCACATATATTGCACTCTATATTGCAAAATATATTGCTATTTTCTTTTATTCGAAACCATTCAACTCCTGCCTTTGGAACATACTCATTAAAACAAACGCTCTTGCAATAGCTTACTAACGTCAACCCTTTGCTTGATAAAAGTTTGTAGCACGATTAAATATCCCTACGATCTAACGTCATTTTAATACAACCTGGCTCTACCGACAATTAATATACATTGATATTTATGTAAAACTGTTTTTATTGGTGAAAATTTATATTAGATACATCGAATTGGTGAACTTTAATAATTTACACATGTATTATGTACATATTATATTATATGAATATATTCTATTGTACAGCCCGGCCGCTCAGAGATTGCGTTTCTGACACCCGTCAGTCTGACATGACTAGTGATGTACAGAAAAAGACATGAGTGACATTCAGTAATGTCATTAGGTCATTCATTACGTATGTTTGCTCAATTCAATATATACATATATTTCTTGTAGGAATTGCTTCAAACAATGTTAATATTATTATTTTATTAAGAATGTAAAATATTCGATCACAATAGCCTCGTTATTTTGTGTTATAATTAAAAAATTGTCGACATAACCTTGCAACAGCGCCGTTGACTTTGTTCCACTTCAAAAACTACAGTTACTTGTTATTATATTTGTTATTTAATTACTTATATACTTTAGACAAAAAAAATGTTGTTTACTGTCAGGAAGTTTTATAAAAGGTATGTTATTTTCCGACGTAAATTGTACACGAGTACAAAGTTATATTAATTCGATCACGTCTTGTCATAAGTGTATGATAGGTTTGATATGACTATAATACAATTTACGTAAAATGTATTTTTTACAAGGTTGAACGTTATTAAATCATTTTACCATTTTCCTTGACCTTGTTTAGATTTTTATTGATAATATTATTAGTTGAAACTATTAAGTTATACATATATGTATATCTACGGCTCTATTCAGTTTCTTTGAATCAAAACAAACTGATTCTCAATACAATATCACAACAGCCAGCTGCGAGTGCGGATCAAATATAGATGATTTACTTCAAACCGACTTTGAAAAGTTTCCCAATTCGCAAGTCGCAATATAAGGGATATTTTATACTTGTACGAGTATATCGGCGAATTCTCCTAACTGGTAACGCGATTGTCGAAAAATTGTCGTTATATGAACTGAAAGATATGTAAGAACAGAAATTATACAGGGTGACTGGTGAATTACTATCAATATTTAAGGAGAATACTCGGTACATGATTCTCATTCGAATTATGTAAAAAAAACAGGTACTTAATTTTTGACCAAATTTCCGTATAAATAAATAAAGTGTGGACACGTTCCAAGTGTTCCAAGTGTGGACGCGTGCGGCGGCGTGCTGATACAACACTACGCCGCCACACGTGTGTGTGTGCGTGTGTGTGTATACCTAATCTGTAGGGTGTTCACACGATGCGTAATTAATTACATAACTTTTGGTTAACTTTACTTAGAAGTTTATTAATATTTATGCTATATTAATTTTTATTTTGTCATATATGATCGTCAAATATCACGTCTTCAAGAATCGATAGTAATTCACCAGTCACCCTGTATATTTTTCCCTTTATGTTTAAAGTGATAACAAACTTGAATGCATTAACTAGTGTGATTAACATGTCAGAATTTAAATGACCAAAAACTGGTTACAAAACGTCATGATACAGGTCCACGTGAACAAAAACAAAACATTGTATATAAAACTTAATATCAAAGAGTTATGAGAGCGTAGCGTATTTAGTTGTTAATAAATAAGCGTAAAATAATTTTCTTCACTTACAAATACAATTTAATACTCTCAAGTGTAAACGATAAGACATAAATTAGTGTGAGAGTCGATTCCGTTCAGGCGAGTGGTCACTGTGGCCTGGTTTTCATCATTTTCTAACTCAGCTATCCGACCGAGCAGTTAAATACTATAATGTTACAAGAATCTTTAATAACTAACAGAGCTTCAACTAAAGATTGTTTTGGTGACAGCGAGACGTTTCCCAGGAGGTATGTTTTTATCTTTTAGAAATCATCGCTTGTCGCGCGGAAACATTTTTATTTTTAGAAATTTAGTTGATAGAGAATTTCTTTTTAACACTTGACTAACATTGATAATTTGTGTCCTAGAAAATAATTTTTTATAATCATTATGCGGAACAAGTTACAACATGCTGTTTGTTTTTTTTAAATATTCAGAATTTACACCGCTGGAAACAATTCATTTAAAAATCTTGATCTGTCTTGATGCAGTGACATGTTTCGGATGAATGAAACTAATGTTTTTCGGAATATACTACTCGTTTTTTTTTTCATAATAATTATTAGTTTCATTTAAATGAATACAGGCGAAAGTGTTAGATCTCATTAGTTTTCGTATCATCTTTAATATTTTCTTCAGTTTTTTTTCCATTTTCACAGTTAAGGTACCAAAATTAGTTTCTACACAAACAGTCCAAAGCTTTTCAAGGGATCAGTCCCCAGCCAATATAAGTTAAAGCTGTTCTTCCGGACCGTGGGTTTTCATTCTAACGTTAAACAAGCGGTTCCAGGATAATCATGCAACCTGATCCCGCCCCGCAGCCTATAAATATCCCGTTGTCCTGTGGGATAGCTAAAAATGTCAGCTCGCTTTTATTCACTTGCTACGAGACGTTAATTTTAATGCGGCTCCTTACGAATCTGGGTCACATGACCTTTTTTAAGGGGTCACGAAAATATGATAAGATACATTCTATTATGAGATACTCGCACTGACTTAGGCAGGAGTGGCGCAAGAACGCGGCTCCCATTTATATGCAAATTAATATTGACGTTCAAGTTACATCACTACGGACGAAAAAAACTTGAAATGTTTAAAAAACTTAAAGTAAAATTTCTCCTATTTATTTAAATGTAAAAAATATACGTTAACAAGAGACAATAATTGAATTTTCACGGAATCTTAATTAAGGTTGTTCTGAGAACCTTATTTTCAAAATTTATAATATAATTTGGCGATTCACTAATTATTTAAGTATCTCATTAAACAACCATATTGAAGGAAATGTTATAAAAAAGGTACATAATATATAGCATATTTTTAAATAGCCACTTTATAACAAAAAATACAGGACTATACCGACTATAGGAATACTAGAGTACAAACATTGATTCCCACTATTAAACTTTTCTTACTGAACTGACGTCTGTATTGCAAAGAAATATTATGTTCACCTTCCTCCTACACGTATTCTTATCACTCATTAAAGTTTAACATCTCATATATTATATACTACACATATTATTTATTATGTCAATATAAACATGCATCGATAGTTAACCTACGACGTAATGTTTAAAAAAACCACCAGTGACTTTTGACTCTTATAAAGTACGTTTAAAAAACCAGACGACGCGTCGCATCATTCAGACAAAATAAAGGTATGAATTAATCGTGCAAAGTCAACAGTTAAAATGTCAAAATAATGTAAATTAAATAAATATAAAAAAAAAATTGCAACATGAAGCTTTTAATAACATTGCGATATCTAAAGAATCTTTATCGTTCCATGATAAATATCCTGTGATAACATTATTTAACAAAATCTTGATAAATCTTTTACTCATACCGAACACAACTATAGAACATCGTCTTATTATTACCCGCTTTCTATAATTATTGTGCACGTCTCTTAAAAATTAGCCAACATTTTATTAGGACTATTTGTACACATATACATAATTCGGTACTTCTTGGACAACTATAAATATATTTGTACAGGAACCAGCGAGATATATAACTTGATTACTGTTATATTTATGATTCAATATTAATATTAACATACATGATCTGATTCAAGGTTCCATATATTTTTGTTTATCACAGGAAAGGTATAAATATATTAGTACTATGTGACTCCGGTATGAATATTTTTATTTGAACTCATTGACCTTTAAGTATTGTTCACGGTTTGACGGAGTCAGGGTTTCTGTAACAGTTCAATACATAATCTTTATAAAAACTTTTGTTGCAGTTGTTTATATTATTATTCTTATCAAACGCGATATATATTTAGGGGCTATTAGTAAAAGAGTATTTTTTAAATGAAGGTCGTTGCATTTCCAAACGTTTGTTTCAGGGAAAGGATCGAGCCAGTTCCAGAAAGCGATGGTTTCTCGTGGAGGTTTTGGGAGAAGCGTCGCCTGGTGGTCGCATTGCTGGCATTCTTTGGATTCTTCAACGTGTACGCACTCAGAGTCAACCTGTCAGTAGCCGTGGTCGCTATGACCGAACCCATTGAGGTCGAACTTGAAAATGGCACGACAGTTTATGTGAGTGTTACATTCATTTAACTATAAAAATTGTCGATAAAAAACATCGCCTTTATGGCATATTATATGGAAATATCTTATATATGTGTAAATGATTCGATAAAGTGCATTTCAAGTTTGAATAACTTTACAAACTATTAAACTACTCAAAACATTATTTCTTTAAAATCAGTAACTGCGCTATATGTCCATACAATTATATGTATATACCTTTTTTTACGATTTCTTCACGGTAATTGATAATTCTCAATCTTCAATCCTGGGTTTCAGATATAGTAGGGACCGAGAATATAATTTCATTTTTCCGGGTTCGCAATAATCCTGTTCGACTTTTTACAAATTTTCCTCAAAATAAAATTTTACAACCTTATAGTCTGCAGTCGCACCGCTATCATGACACAATTTATAATATTATAAAGGTTTTTCCTAAAATTAAAGAAAACTCTATTGAAACGGCATAAGGGAGTCGAAGTGCTTGACCCATTTAGAGAAATATAGATGGAGTTTTACGGGCAGCTTAAAAATACTAAATTTCCCCTCCCGCCTTCGGGATAGAACTCAAAATTTAACGTTCCATTAAATCAGACGTGGAATCGTCTCGGAACATCGAATTAGGGGATAATAAATGTCTCGAATATCTTACGCGTGTGATTTTTTATAAGACTGTCTTATACCAAGTTCATTTCCATTTATTATTCTGGGATCATAAAATATTATCTTTATAGAGGCTCCTCATGTAGATTTATGGAAGATATCATCGGGGACGATTTTATACGACCGAATAACTTCACATACGAATCCGCTGAACGTTTCCACATAAAAATTATCCAAAACCTCTTTCGTTCGTGATAGGTTTGGGTTTTCCTTGGTAGGTTCCAGAGTTCGACTGGAGTCCGCAAACGAAAGGCTTGGTGCTGAGCTCGTTCTTCTACGGCTATCTACTGACACAGCTGCCCGGCGGATGGCTCGCCTCCAAGATAGGAGGTCACAGGTTCGTTACCACATGAATAACTTATAATACTCTCAGTCTAGTCGAGTCATAAAATTGTCATGAAAAATATACCAAAGTATTAGCAAAAAGACTTAAGAAATATCAAGTTTTTCCTGTAATATACCTTATAAGTTATAAAATTACTTAGAGAAGTGGAGATAGTCAAACAGATATTTGGAGCCCATGTATAGAGTGTCCAAATTTATGGTGGCCTAGACGCTAAAGGCCCGCCTCTCGTGCATGAGGGCGCAGGTTCAAAACCTAGCAAGTACCAATGTGATTTTCCAAGTCATATGTATTTTCAATGAGTATTTAGACACCACTGACAGACGGTGAAAGAAAACATTGTGAGGAAACCTGGACTTATAACTTCAAATTATTAGTTTGAAATCACCAACCCGTCTTGAACGAGCCTGGTGATTAATGCTCAAATCTTTTCCATCTGAAGAGGCCTTTGCTCAGCAGTGTGCTCTGACAGGCTGATGATGTATAGTGTTAGCGTAGTAGTGTATACTAGACTGTAGGTGATTGTTTCCAGAATGTTCGCTATCGGTGTGGGAGCCACGTCGCTGCTCACTCTGTTCACTCCTCCTCTCGCACACATCAGCACCGGCCTACTGGTGGCTGTGAGGGTCGTTGAAGGATTATTTGAAGTGAGCTCCTTTTATATATTAACTAGCTTTCCGCCTGCAGCTTCGCCCACGTGGAGTTCGGTTATATCGCGTATCCAAGAGAACCTTTCAAAAGTCTGAGATAAAAATTATCCTGCTTTTTCTCAAGGTCAACTCTATCTCTACCAAAATTCATTAAAATCAGTTCAGTGGTTTAAGCGTGAAAGCGTAACAGACAGACAGAGCTACTTTCGCATTTATAAAATAGCCTATGTGTTATTCCTGGACGTCAGCTTCCTGTACATACAAAATTTTCTCAAAATCGGTTCAACCGTTTGAGCGTGAAGAAGTAGCAAACATACATACAGACTCACAAATTTTCGCAATTATAATATTAGTAGGATATGAGACGAAAACCATATACCTATGATTTTCTTTTCTTACTGCAATAATCACCAAAGAATATTGCTATTACAAATATTAAATGTCTATTCTTTATGGCAGAAAAAAAAATACTTAGTAGAGAATTTATTCCTGCTAATTGTTTTCTTTAACGATTAACAAATAGCGAGTTAGTAGTTCTTAAATATCATTTCCTTTTATTATGTAACTAGTATTTATTCCTATCAAAAACGTCAAAAACCTCCGTATTTTCTGACTTAGGGACTGATAGGGTTATGTTTTTGTAGGGCAAAAAAATTTGATGATTAATTCTAATAGTGCTATAAATATATTTCCCTTGTGTTTCCTCTGGTTCTCTGTCAGGGTGTAACCTACCCATGTATCCACGCGGTGTGGAGCGTGTGGTGTCCGTCCGGTGAGCGAGCTCGTCTCGCCTCATTCGCCTTCAGCGGTAGTTACGTAGGGACGGTGGTGTCTCTGCCGGTGGCCGCCTACCTCGCGCAATACACCGGGTGGCCGGGGATCTTCTACGTGTCCGGTCAGTATGAAAACTACCCACACCTATAGACTCTTTATACCTGGTCGTTGGTTGGTCACGTTCTTGTACGTGTCTGGTCAGTGTATAATAATAATAATAAGTCATTTATTCTCTCTTCACAAAATACTAGATACACATCATCTTATATAAATATATATTAGTGAGAGATTGGAGCCCGGGATGGGTATAAGGATACCTGTATTACAGGTCCCCAGGTCCCCACGCTGCCATATTAACAAAGTGAGCTCTTTACATTAAACTGTTGTATATATGTTGGAGAGATTGTTTCAGTGTGTGTGTGTGTGTGTGTGTATGTATGTATGTGACAACTACTCACACCTGTAAACCCCTTATACTTGATCGTTAGTTGGTCACGTTTCCATACAATCCTGTTCCAGGTATATTCGGTCTCGTGTGGACCACCATATGGTGGCTGGTGGTGAAGGAGTCGCCCGAGAGAGACTCACACATTACGGCCGCTGAGCTCAAGTACATACAGGTTGGATTGATGACGTCACACTAATAATTTAGTCTTATACGACTTACAAACAAAGACAAACAATAACAACATAACATATGCATAGAGAACTTGTTGGTTCAAGCAATTTTTTAGACGTAACTTTAAGGGAGGGAAAATATTAATGATATTATTTTTTGTCGATTTTTCGTCACCATAGATATGATAGAATGTTTGACATGCAGTAGCAGTTTTCATGAGAAGAGAAGCAGTGTAGCTTTACACGCTACTCACGATCATACTGATAGTATGACGTCTCTCATTACATACAAATAGTCTTTTAGACATGACTTTTGACCTTACTTAAATACATTCACGTCTTTATCAAATCCTCAACTATTATAAATACACGTGTTTATAAGTCTTATAAACTTTAGTCATTTACTTATTATGACAAATAATTGGCTACTAAAGTCAGTTTTAATTACAACTGAGACAGTAATCTCTCAACTAACTTGTTAATTATCACTTGTATCGTTGTTAAAGAAAGTACTGAGAAACAGACGGTCAATGTTTGATCTCAAGTTAAACGTTAAAGTTCTACAAGTACGAATAACATGGAAATTTCCATTGTAATGTATTAAAAATATTAATTATAAATAAAAAACTTTTTCTACTCTCTGTTTATTCGCCTATCAAGAATGTTTGAAATCTGTAGTTTTTATAGGAAAAAAATATAGGGAACTTCCATTTCTGATAATTTTATGAAGATTTTTTTTTTTATGTGCCATATTTTTGAAAAGTTACGATTTACGAGAATATGCTATCATGGATTGGAACAAGCCTTTAAAACGAACGTTAAAATAATGTTCATAGCACGAATCTTTATATTTTGTCTAACTGGAGTATTCTAACAGTACCTGTTTAAAATATTAAAAAATCTTCTGATATTCTGATACTCATCTCAGAACATCATAACTTTTTCAATTCGTATATAACAGCTACTACATATATTTTCATTATAAGGTCGTAATTTACTAAATATATTTAACTTATTCATTTTTAATGCCCATGATCAAAACGAAATTAAACTATAATATTTACTAACCCTTTCAAATTCATCATCTATTTCCTACTGAGAAACAAATCACATTACGTCCGATTTAATTATATTAAACTTAGTTTTAGAAGATCGAAGTTTTAATGTGTCGATGTGTCACATGCTCGAGGGTCAAACAAAATTAGTGAATTGTTTCACAGGGACGGGGATAACATACAAACGCTATTTAACATTCACATACATGGATTATTGAAAGTTTCACATACACTTGAAACATCCATAGATTAATGAAACGAAGAGTTTAACATTGAACAGATATAAAGACCCAATAATATAATAGTCGTTTTATATACTGATAACACTTGAAACACTTATGATATAAAAAAAATACTTTCGTCTTCTTTTCTCTAGTTAAAACCAATTTTATTCAAACAAAGAAAATAACCATTTTTCTTTCTTAATAACTTAATAAAAAGTACACGTTTTAAAAATGTAGTGTGTTATAGAAAAATAAAACAGATGAACTCAGTGTGCGATGAAAATTATTATATTTAAAAGTTATCTATTATGTTGTTAAACATTACTTTCAAGAACACTGACTGTATGCTCGCTGATAAAAACATTAAATATTAACCCATTAACCGCCAAAATTACAACAGCAGTAGTATTTTTACAAAACATTTATTTTCATGTTGCCTATGGGTGAAATAAACATAAAATAAAATAATATTTTGAAAAAGAAAATCAGGCTTTTCAGGAGAAGGGTGTACACAATTGAGTACAGCGGCTTATTATAGGTGAAATTTTTCAAAACGTTGGTTTTCAAAACATAATGTTTTTACACACTTTATGCATTGCCAACGAACTCTTGTTTGACAAACAACACATCGCAATGATTTTGTAACCTTTTCGGATAGTGCTCTACACTATTTTGAGCTAAACCTTGTAATGTTGCATGAACCCACCGCCACTTTTTTCGTGTTAAGCAATCTTATACAGTGCAATCGATTGGTATAATTCATCGACTCCCCCCATATTTTAGTAGGTATATGTTTAGCTATTTTGACATAAACTAACAAATCTTCCCTGGATACTTTATGATAACCAAAAAGTATCAATATACCTATGAACCTATCAAAATCATTGGAGTCCAGTTGAAAAGTATGTCTGCTATTTTGATTAGCATATTCAATTGTATTCGTAATAAACTTCTTCATCAAACATTTATTCAAATATCTGTACGGGACTAAGTTCTCCGAGTTGTTCTTTTACTGCCTCCTGTCTTTCTAGCATATCAGTTCTTTCTTCAGTCGTCGAAGATTATGGAAAGGGAACATTTACGCCATACAGGCTGACATAGCTGCTTTCGCCTTTTCATTTCTTTTTCAGCCAATGATTCCTCGTATTATCGTCACTTAAAATGTTGTCCTCGTTAGCTCTAAGAAACTCAATATTGCCAGGCACATCCCGCGGCAAAGATGCGGTAACCATGTCTTCGTCGAAACCTTCCTCTTCATTTGTAAGGATGCTGAGATCTGGCTGTATAACAGTCGTAATCCCCTTCACTGTCACTCTCATCCAAAACAGCATTGACTCTGATCCTTTGTAACAGTTAGAAACGCTAGAATATTTCGAACTCATGGTAACGAAATACTAGAACAATAAGCGCAATCGTTATATGGATTCGGCCGCTGTACGCAATCGAGTACAGTTGTATTTCAAGTACGATTTCTTTGTAAATACTTGTTGTAAGATACTCTTTTAATATTGATTTTACGAATAAGGATGTTGACTACAAGAAACATAAATATATCTGAAATTTAGGTTATGTAATATAAAAAAAATAATGTATCAGCGAACTTACCTCGATAAACGATTACATCGCGAAGTTCATAGCCTTACTGTGACAGATTTTATGAATATACCCACATAAATTGTAATTTTTTTGATGCTCAAACTATCATTTTTAATTATGAGACGAAAAAAACAAATATAGGTTAGTAAAGAGATTATCTACCTTCAATTGATTAGGTGTACACAATCGGGTACAGAGGCGCCAAATGGGTTAAGTATATACGGAATTAATTTGCATAATAAAATCACATACCATATAACTAGTGTCATAATAAATATATACTAGCTTTCCGCCCGCGTGAAGTTCGGTTATATCGCGTTTCCAAGAGAACCTTTCAAAAGTCTGGGATAAAAAAATATCCTATGTTCTTTCTCAAGGTCAACTCTATCTCTGTACCAAATTTCATTAAAATCAGTTCAGTTGTTTAGGCGTGAAAGCGTAACAGACAGACAGAGTTATAATATTAGTAGGGATTTATAAAGGCTGTGTTATTTCTAGACGTCAGCTTCCTGTATACAAAATTTTATCAAAATTGGTTCAGCCATTTGAGCGTGAAGAAGTAACAAACATACACATACACACTCACAAACTATCGCAATTATAATATTAGTAGGATATGAGATGAAAAATATATATGACTTTCTTTTCTTACTGCAATAATCACCAAAGAATATTGCTATTACAAATATTAAACGTCTCTTCTTTTTGGCAGAAAAAAAAAAATACTTGGTAGAGAATTTATCATATTAAATATATTTAACGATTGGTTTTTTTTAACGATTAACAAATAGCGGGTTAGTAGTTCTTAAATATCATTTTCTTTTATTATGTAACTATTATTATGTTTATTCCTATCATTGTAACGTCAAAAACATATACAGGGTGACTGGTGAATTACTATCAATTTTTAAGGAGAATACTCGGTACATGATTCTCATTCGAATTATGTAAAAAAAAATAAGTACTTAATTTTTGACCAAATTTCCGTATAAATAAATAAAGTGTGGACACGTTCCAAGTGTTCCAAGTGTGGACGCGTGCGGCGGCGTGCTGATACAACACCACGCCGCCGCACGCGTGTGTGTGTGTGAGTGTATACCTAATCTGTAGGGTGTTCACACAATGCGTAATTAATTACATAACTTTTGGTTAACTTTACTTAGAAGTTTATTAATATTTATGTTATATTAATTTTTATTTCGTCATATATGATCGTCAAATATCACGTCCTCAAGTATCGATAGTAATTCACCAGTCACCCTGTATAACGTATATGCATCTGTCTCTCTATGTATCTCTCTCTCTATGTAACTCTCACATTATGTCTCTGTCCGTACCCAGGAGTCCCGTGGTTGTAGTCGCGGCGTGCGTCGTCACCCGTGGCGCGCCATGCTGTCCTCGGGCCCCGTGTGGGCGATAGTCGCCGCTCACTTCAGCGAGAACTGGGGCTTCTACACGCTACTCACATTCCTGCCTACATTCATGCAGGGTCAGACACAGTATTAGCAAACATACACACTAAAAACTTATGATAACATTCGGCTTATGATTTGGTAAAATTGGTACAAGCGCCATCTATCGAATGTAAACAGAAACATTATGGCCAGCTGCTAGCGCCGCGTATTCAATGTGACAATAAGCAGAACTAATCGCAGCTTGTTCTCTAACTACTTACAAACGAATACATCGCGTCGAACCTAGTGTTGACAAAAAAAGGAATACATATTTGCATTCCATTATAAAGACATATTCATGTAAATAAATTATAATGAGATCTAAGATTTTCGCGAGTACTCATTTAAATGAAACTAATATTTTCTGATTTTACTCCGCTTTTACTTTTCAGCAACCGTGATCACAGTTGCTGAAGTGTAACCGAAACGTCGGGAGTATGTAGTTTCTAATCAAAAATAAAACGCGAAGTCAAATCAGAAAATATTAGTTTTATTTAAATAAATTATAATTATACTAGAAGACCCGGCGAACTTCGTATCGCCCTATAATCAAGAAATATCTGTTAAGTTTTTTTATTTATATTTTTGGAGTTTACCTATTAAAGCCATAAATCTCCGTGTTTTGATGTGCGACAGAATGATTGACATATTAGTTAGTTGTCAAATCGAATGTCAAAAAAAAAAGTTTGTGTCAACAACTACTACTAAATTAAAAATTAATTATATATAAAGATAACTGATGAGTGATGACTGTATATACTAATGATAACCTCTCCTTGTATATATGTAGATGCGTTCGGTTTCTCCACGTCGTCGTCTGGCTGGTCGTCGGCCGTCCCCTACCTGGCGATGTCGATCACGCTGCAGGTGTCGGGACTCTTAGCGGACTATCTCCTCTCTCTCAATCGACTGAGTGTTACCTCAGTGCGACGTCTGTTCACGTGCGGGGCGTTCCTCGCTCAGGTAATAATAATAATAAAAACTATTGCTTCAGATAGGTCGTACACATTTTTATGAGATACAAATATGTACTGTAAAAAAATTTGTTCTTAATCTACCACTCGTTTTCATTGACGACCGTATCGAAATTGGTTACAAGCTCAGCTGTGTGTCGTGCTATGCCCAGCGCTGATTTTCAGCCCACTGAAAATCAGCGCTGATTATGTTGACTTATTGACAACGCACCGTTCCGTAACATATTAAAGTGATACAAAAAATTTGATATAAAAGCAAGTAAAAAATATACCGGTGAAATTAATATAGAACACAAAAAGAAGTAAATAAACAATTTCTCCAGTTTATAACTACCAGTACTACAGGTAACATATTCCGTCTCTCTCTCTCTTTCTATATCTATATATATATATATATATATATATATATATATATATATATATATATATATATATATATATATATATATATATATATATATATATATCACGTGTTCCAGACGGTGTTCATGTTGGGCGCGGCGTACTCCTCCTCTCCCTCGTCGTGTATCGCGTGCCTCACCCTGGCCGTTGGTCTCGGAGGGTTCGCCTGGTCTGGTTTCAGGTAACGTCTACTGTCTATAGTCTACTACTCCCTGTCATTAATCATGGTAACACTTCACTAAGTGTCCTATCCTCCTTACAGCTCCTCGATACTATCAGCGACCTCTCGTCTCCTGTCTATTTACTTACATTCATTTATTAAGAATTTAACGTATTGCATAACATTAAACAAAAAGTAAAACTTAATTAACTGTCTACTTTTAAATACAATTTTTTACTACATTTTTAAAATCAACAATAGTTAGCATATCATACATGTAAATTTAAAACTTCATACGAGTGTTCACATGCACTTATAATTTCATTTGATAAAATATTTGAAATTGACCAAAGCGCCATCTATGAACTATAAACAGAAATATTATTGTCCGCTTGCTATTTATTCTTCAACTCCATACAAACAAATACGTCTCGATTAAAACTTGTATCGTATGAAAATATTTCTATTATAATATGTAAAAACATATCATATCTTGTCTTTGAACGTGAATACATTTTATTTATGTAACCAATGACTTTATGAACTAATTATTAATTTATACTTGTAAATCCTAAGCCGTCTGCTCGTAAGGTTTTTCCTTAATATGCACGTTCCCACTTGGACTATGAGGTAGTGACAATAAAACAATTAACAACACTAGTGTTATGCTTTGATCTCGCTGACAGTACTGAGTTACGTCTTATTATAATGTATAAGTTATTACGTCTTACCATAATGTATAATCTTCTATCTTCTATATATATAAAAATGGATTGCTGTTCCTTAGTCTCGCTAAAACTCGAGAACGGCTAAACCGATTTGGCTAATTTTAGTCTTGAAATACTCCTGGAAGTCCAGGGAAGGTTTAAAAGGTGAGAAAAATTGGAATTATTGCCGGAAAAACCCTAAAAACAGCCCTTTTCTATTTCCCATACAAACGATTTTTTGACATTAGACTTGACAACTAACTAATATGTCAATCATTCTGTTCGATTGAAACAGTAGAAATTTAATAAATACCAATACCGGGTTATTGAAGACGGAATAGAGTTTACCCGGTCAGCTATACCTATATTACTAATGACGAAATTAACGCAGACGAAGTCGCGGGCAAAAACTAGTATAATAATATTATTTCCAAAAGAGGGTTGATGGCAGGCAGGCCGGTTGTAAAAACAATTAGCCAAAAACTATTCACATGTAAAACAGACTGGCTAAAGCTGGGAAATTGCCAGGTAGAAGATAATGTATAAGTTATAATGTGTGTGTGTATATACAGTGTGAATCACCTGGATATCGCTCCTCCTCACGCCAGTGTGTTGATGGGTGTATCTAACACAGTCGCTACTCTGCCCGGCATCGTGTCGCCCGCACTCGCCGGGGCCATCGTTACTGATAAGGTAACACACAATATACTACTACTATACTACCAGTAGAAATGGAAACGTAGGATAAAGAATCGATTCTAAATTATAATTTTATTTTCAGAAATTTATCGAAATTTCAGAATCAGAATCGTCTCAGAATCGATTAATCAATCTTAAGAATCGGATCTTAATAAGAATTTAAAAAGTAAATGGTAAAATAAAATGGAAATTATAGAAATTTAACGACGGGGGTGATCTATGATAATTTTCAAACCCTGATTTATAATGATAAATATAAAAATTCATTAAAAATACCTAAATTTTTCAATTTTCATCACTAAATCATGTTGTATCAATCTATATTGTATTAATATTTCAATATGTTATCGTTCCAGTCGCCGGATCAGTGGCGCATCGTGTTCTTTATATCCAGCGCCATCTATCTGTCGGGCGCGGCGTTGTACGGAGCGTTGTGTTCCGGGAACAGACAGCCGTGGGTGGTAGAGGTTGAAGGAGACGCGACCTTTGACACGGACGGGGCTTCATCTAGCTACGATAATAAAGCCTTGGACAGGAGCTCCGAGATGTGACGGAACACACACACACACAGATCTGATTTAGACGAATTTTTGTACCTTTACTAAGTATTGTTCTGTTCTGGAATAAGGGAGATTTCAAGTATTACGTAACGCCATTTTTGACACCCCCTTTCCCCCCTCGTAACGCAAAGTAACGTTTTTCTGTAGCTTATTAAAACGTTACGTAACACTCAAGTGATCAATTTCATCCAAAGTCGGAAAATTTCGTAATAGTTTGGTATAGTTTTAATCCATTAAATGAAAAAGGCCATTGACACAAATCTCCCTCTTCTGAAGAAATTACAGTATAAACACTAACGAATACTGACTACGGAAGCAACATTAAAAGACTTACAATGCAATCTAGGTATTCCCAGTAAAATATCAATTGAGAGGTTTGCAAACTTGGAATAACAAATAAAAATATCGACCAGAAAAATACAATCTGGTGAACATTATGTAACATATATGAAAAGAGTTGCCAGTTTGGGGGTTTTTATTAATATTTTTTTAGGAACAATGCTACGTAACGTTTTACGAGACCCCCCAAAATAGCGTTACGTAATACTTGAACGCTCCCTAATTCAGAACACTATCTTTATCATACAAACAAAGAATTGTATCTCAATATGTTACATGTATAAGCTTATGTCTCAAGGTGACGGCTTAATGATTGTGATATTGTAGCTTGTGTTAATACTTGGATATATAGAAAACAATTGTAATACAGTTGTCAAACAAATCCTTTACATGAAGAACGCACATTGTTTGTATTATTTTGTTACTGTTCATGAAATTTTGCCAATTTTATGACTAATTATATCTTAAGTGGATGATTTTGTAAATATATCTTTATAATTATGTGTATTATATTAACTCATACGACTGTGATGATGAAATAAATATATTTGAACTAGCTTTTATTTTATTTTACTTCACCCTAACAAAACATCACATTACCTGTTACTACTATTACTACACATCAAATGATATAATACGGCGTTTTATATTTCTTTAATTCTATATAAATCATTAAATAAATGTAGAGGATCAATAAAACCTTAGATAATTAGAAAACTTCATAAATACGTCCTTAAATAAAGAAACGATTATTAAGTAAAGCTCCATCTGTGATGAGAAATAGGAACCTTTAGAACAAAATTAATGAAAAATTATTTGATCGGAAATGATACAACTTCAAATAACTTTAAATGAAACTAATATTTTTCGGATACACTACGGGAATTTATTTTTGATAAAAACCTATGTGAAAGGTATTCCGAAAAATATTAGTTTCATCTAAATGAATACTCGCGAAAGATCTACTACTTAGATCTCGCATATTCAAATAACTTTGTTAAATAAGTTAAGTTTTTTACAGAATTTTAAAAGTAACTATCCGTGATAAATAGTATAATTAATAGTTTAATAAAAATTTAAAACACTCGCAGCCTCCGGAAATTGATTTTGATACAATTGAAGTCATATACAATATTTTATATTACGTCTCACATTATTGTTGATTTGTACATGAAATTATATCAATAAAATAAAATCTGGAGGTTTGAATAAATTTCTAATAATGATTTACGATTGATAAAAGTGTTTTAGAATGAAAAAGATTGCATATCCATTCGTCAACATTATGGTTATATTAATGTAATTTATTGTAATATTAATTATTTAGGAACATTAAACTTGTAAAAGTTTTACTTTAATTTGTAAAATAATTCCCTTTAATCTCTTTTAATTTTATATTAAATAAATAATTTACAAAAGGCGATATAAGTTTCTAAGGTAACTGATTAAAAATTTTGAATATTGTGTCGTCACTTCCACCGGCTCATTTGTCGGCGAGTATAAAGACAAGCGTTACTTTGTGTCGCCGCGCCAAAGCTGTAACGTAATTCGCGGCGACGGTGCGTGTGAAAGTCGATCGTTTTAATTTTTAAACATGGTCGAGACTAACAACCAGATGACGTACAAACTGTTGGAGCTGATGCAGAGGACCGGCTACACCATCGTACAGAGAAACGGACAAAGGAGGTTCGGGCCGCCTCCCGATTGGACCGGCCCGCCGCCGCCGAGAGGCTGCGAGGTGTTCGTCGGCAAGCTACCCAGGGAAATATTCGAAGACGAACTCGTCCCACTGTTCTCGAGGGTCGGCAAGATATACGAGATGCGACTCATGATGGATTTCTCCGGCTCGAACCGCGGGTACGCGTTCGTGACGTACACCGACCGGGCCGAGGCCACGGCGGCCGTGAAGCAACTCAACGGCTACGAGATACGTCCGCGACGACACATCGGCGTCGTCAAGTCCGTGGATAACTGTCGCCTGTTCGTAGGGAACATTCCCAAGACGAAGACTAAGGAGGAGGTGAGGGAGGAGCTCTCCAAGCGCGTGTCGGACATCGTGGACGTCATACTGTACAAGAACTGCTTCGATCGGAAGCTGAACCGGGGCTTCGCCTTCGTGGAGTTCACGTGTCACCGCGCGGCCGCTATGGCGAGGCGGGCGCTGGTGCCGGGCTGCGTCAGACTGTGGGACCAGGAGGTCATGGTGGACTGGGCCGAGCCTGAACCTGACGTAGACGACGACCAGATGCAAAGGGTGAGTAGTAATAAAACTTTTCAGCTGAGCGTTTAAAATATTATATTTTGTTTATGGCTATGTTATCTTTAGTATACGTCTCGCCGTTTAGATAAACAGAGCAATACGATCGGCGTGTTTGTAAGTCCGTTGCGTGTATTCGATTGCAGGTGAAGGTACTTTATGTGCGTAATTTCGAGATTCGGACGACCCCGGACGTGATCCAAAAGGTCTTCGAATCCGCCATTAATCACAAAGTGGAGCGAGTAAAAAAAATATATGACTATGCGTTCATACACTTTTACGAAAGAGAACATGCAGAGCTTGCTATAGCGAAATTACAAAACGCAGACATCGACGGTAGTAACATCGAAATAAGATGGGCCAAGCCCGTCGACCGCGACCTGTACCGCATACAGAAACTCAGTAGAGGCAATGCGAAGTTTAACAATAGCTTGGATTTGACTCAGACCCTGTTACTTTATAAACATCACATCGAAAAGCAGGAGTATGTTAACGGTCCCAAAGACGAAGGCATTGGCTCGGCCTGCGCCGGGGGCAGCTCCTGTTGCTCTCCAGCAGACACGAAGCCTCCCGTGTACTGTCAGCCCCCAGCTAACTACACTCTGGCTACTGTTAAGCTGGAAGCGATGTGCAAACGGTCAGTCTAATATTTGTGAACTTTAAGCACCACAGTTTAATGTGGTATAATTGTTCTAATTTAATGTATATTTTTCAGCTACATGTGGTCTCTGCCAATATATGACTATCAAAAGTATGTGGATCCTACTGGCACAGAGCTATGGGTGTGTCGTGTGGAGCTGCCTCAAGTGGGTCTGCCGCTGCTGTCTGTGGCTCAACGTGTGGGTCCCCTCGCAACCCGAGCGTGCTTCTCGATTGAACAAGCTCATGTTGAAGCAGCGGAATTGGCTCTGCAGGCTTTGAAGGTGACTCCTAAACTCTTGCACTGAAATATTGTTTATTACACTAAAACATGAACATAGTGAATGAAACTTGAAATTCTAAGGTTTTATAACTAATATAAATAAATGGTTACAGATGTTGCGAGTGAACATGATCCACCAGTCTGCTGGCTCCCTGTATTCACTGCCTGGGGCTTGTGTGGGTCTTCCTTGTGACTACCCCGTGTACTCTCTGGCGCCGGCCATGCCTGCTCCTCTACCTGCGTCCCTGCCGACTCCACTTCCGGCCCCAATACAAGCCATTTGGCGTGCTGTTTAGATTTTAATTGTCTTTAGAACTTTGAATACTGTCCTCATTGTTGATGCAATGTGGATGGGATTCCATAGAAAAAATTTTTTTATGTATTTAGTTAGTATTAAAATTTTGTTTTTGTTGTTATCGCAATTTAGACGGGTTTTCTTGAGACTGTTTTTTGTTTAGATTATATTTTATATTTAATATTAATATTGTTGGGTATCATGTGTTATATCCCACAATATTAGTTTCTCCTTAATTAGACCTCTTTGTTGACTCATTTTTGACCTTAGACTTAATAGTTTTTTTGTTGTATGTTAATTAAAGCTTTTTTTTTTGTTGTATGTTGATTAAAGCTATTTTAGTACAAATATTTTTAAATGTAACTGCGGTACTTTTTATAAATCCGCATTGTCAGAGCTTCCTTGTGCATATACATCAGTATATTCAGAGAGAATGCACTGATATTAATATTTTTTGTTGACTTGGAAACCTTTAGTGAAATAAAACACATGTTGCATATATATGAAGTTTATTTGTAATAATCCTGAAGTTTATTTGTAATAATCGACATAAAGAATTCGATTTCAGTATACCAGTCAAACTAATTAGAGGTGAAATAAGACTATTTTTAATGTAAGCGTCGAAAACCACTTGTACCCTCATATCCTTTTGAGCAAACAATTGTTCAGATACCTCTTAAATCGAATATAATATTAACAAATAAACACCAAAATAAGGGTAGTGGTCATAACGGCAGTATTTTGAAAATATTTTTAGGTAGGTTTTAAATATAGTTATGTAAACCAATTTTTTATCATTATCTGAAGCTTAATAATTTTAAATATTCAGGCTTATGCAATTGCTCCGCGGTGTATAAAAAATTTTCGATTTAATTCTGGCACATTCCTTTCGATCCCGGTATCCTAAAGTTTTCGCTATGTAAACCAACTCAATATTATGCGATTGGGATATTTATACATATTGGATTAGTAATACCTACCTACATATTAACAAAAAGTATTGTTTTAATTTGAACGCTTACATGAGTATTGTAATAAATTGTCATTTTGACATCTGACATGGGGCTATTATGCTATAGTAGTTGAATTTGACAATTACATTTAACCGCGGATACTTAGTTTTATAAACATAAACACTAATCACAGATGAAATTATGTTAGGAAAAAATGTATTTAGATCTTTACAAAAGCAGGTCAATATAATAAGATGTTACAGAACCCACCTGAGTCTTAAGAAATTTGAGATATTATGCAGACGAACACAAACAGTTCGATGTCAGCATACAGTTAGTGATACGATATTTAAAAGAAATCAAAATGACGTTGATACAAGAAGTTGTAACTTAAACTCTTTTACACAAAGGACGCACACATGTGGAGAACTAAATCTAAGTCATGTTGGAAACAAGGTTATACTTTGTGGCTGGGTACAGTTTGTGCGTTTATCAAAGTTTTTACTCATCAGGGACTCGTACGGGCTAACCCAATGTATAGTAAGCGGCTCTGATATTGATATAAAAGATTTACCATTAGAGACTATTGTTCAGATTGAAGGGACTGTAGTAGCACGACCATCCACAATGGTAAATAAAGAAATGATTACTGGAAAAGTGGAAGTCGTTATTGACAAACTGAAAGTTTTGAACGAAGTAACAAAGTTGCCTTTTAATTTAAGGGATTATCAGAAACCGAAAGAACAGTTACGTCTCCAATATCGCTACATAGACCTAAGGTTTCCTGAGATGCAGTCAATTTTAAGAAAGCGGTCTGCAATGTTGCATGCTATGAGAAAGTTTCTTATAGAAGAACATAATTTCGTAGAAGTTGAAACACCAACGTTGTTCTGTCGCACGCCAGGTGGAGCGAGGGAGTTTGTTGTCCCCACACATCATTCCGGGCTATTCTACTCTTTGGTTCAAAGTCCTCAACAGTTTAAACAGATGTTGATGGCAGGCGGAGTGGACCGGTACTTCCAAGTGGCTCGTTGTTACAGGGATGAAGCCACGCGTCCCGACAGACAGCCCGAGTTCACACAGCTCGATATAGAACTATCATTTACAAGTTTAGAGAATGTTCTCTCTCTGATAGAACAATTGTTATATGAAACATATCTCATACATCTACCGAAGCCACCATTCAGAAGAATTACATACAGGGAGGCATTAGAAACATATGGCAGTGATAAACCTAATATAATATATGACTTGTTATTGAAAAATGTTACAGAATTATTCCAACCCAATACTGATACAAACTTTGGAGCATTTCTTCTGCCATATCCTAGCGCTGTGGGTAAACTTACAAGTAAACATAAAGAAAAAATAAAAGAACTAAGAAAGAAATATAATGTGAAGGTCGTCTTGAATGAAAACATATCAAAAGAGGTCGGTGATGAGTTAAACAATCAAATAAAAAGTGATGATTGTCATAATGTTCTGTGTCTTGGTGATAGAGATGATGTTTGTATGTGTTTGGGAGATTTAAGAGAATATTTGGCCAGTTTGTTGAAATCTAAGAACCTTCTATCGGTGAAGGATAGTATGGAGCCACTATGGGTGGTTGATTTTCCATTATTTAATAAAGGAGATGCAGGTTTGGAAACTTGTCATCATCCGTTCACCGCCCCACATCCTGACGACATACACTTATTAGACACAAATCCATTAAAAGTGAGGTCACTTGCATATGATATTGTGTTGAACGGCAATGAAATCGGCGGTGGATCCATAAGAATCCATAACGGGGATTTACAGGAGAGGATCTTGAGGATGTTGGATATTGATCCGAAGCCGTTATCACACTTTATAAGTGCATTACGAAGTGGTTGTCCTCCGCACGGAGGCATAGCTTTAGGTATTGATAGGTTGATGGCGATTGTTTGTAATACAGAATCTATAAGAGATGTTATAGCATTCCCTAAATCCCATGAAGGAAAAGATCCGCTCTCAGGAGCTCCCAACGATATAAGTGAAGACGATAAAAAATATTATCATATTAAGACAGAATTGTGAAACATGTTTATTTAAAAAGTATTGTAGTAATAACACAAATTTGTAATATATAAATTAATTACAGGTGAATAAAAAGTTGTTAAATGTTTAAGTGTTTTATTATTTGAACATTATTATCTTCTTCTTCTATATCTTTTATCTTTTATATATATATATATATATATATATATATATATATATATATATATATATATATAGATATAAATGGATTGCTGTTCCTTAGTCTCGCTAAAACTCGAGAACAGCTGAACGGATTTATCTTATCTTAGTCTTGAAATGTTCGTGGAGGTTCAGGGAAGGTATAAAAGCTGAAAAAAATTTATTCGTCACTGGGAAAACCATGAAAACAGCCCTTTTCTATTTCCCATACAAACGTTTGTTTTGACATTAGATTTGACAACTAACTAATATGTCAATCATTCTGTCGCATTTCGAAACACGGAGATATATGGCTTACAGGTAAACTCCAAAAATATAAATAAAAAAACGTAATAGATATTTCTTGATAATAGGGCGATACGAAGTTCGCCAGGTCTTCTAGTGTTATATATAATTCCTAGGCTGGTTGTTTTAATATCATCTTGATCCCTACGAAATATAATTCCTAATAAATCATAATTATGACTTATACTTTTTTCCCTTTAACATCGCGCGGGAAACAGTTGCCATTTTTTTTGTTATGTTCGTTCCGTTCAGAACAGGCAAAGAGAACAAAGCCCATACAGCCATGTCTTTTGTATCTTTAATTATTTTTAAATGTCTTAATCTCCTTTTTTACTCTTGACTCAAGTTTTTATATCAGGCCTAAGCCATTGCTCCTTTTAATTTTCTTCTTAAACCATTTTTTAAATTTTAAGGCCGAAGCCATGTCTTCTTTTAATTTTCTTATTTAATCATTTTTAATTGTAAGGTCGAAGCCACGTCTTTATTTAATTTTTTTTTGTCCAATTCTTGTTTTTTTTTTTTACATTCCGTCTTTTTTAAATGTCAAGTCCTTGTAATGTCATTTTTAGTACAATTCATTTGTCACAACAATCGATAGAACGGTCAAACTCTGAAAATAGCTGAAATAGCTGAAAAACAAATATTTTAAACAAAACGAAAAAATTAGTATTATATACATATGTACATATAACAATTAGATTTCATTTATAGTAGAAACAATAAAGCCATAAACTGGCAAGAAGCATTCTTGAATGCTTAGTATTTGCTGAAGGGAGCGCAGGATATCTTCAGCAGTCTTAAAAATACTTAAAAGTTGGTCTACAAGGACCATCCTTTGAATACTAAACTGTGGACAATCAAAAAATATATGTTCGAGGGTTTCATCAGCACTATTGCAATATCTACAAGTTGAAGAGTCAAAAACACCAACCCTAAAAAGGTGAGCACCAAAACTACAATGTCCCAGACGCAAACGACAGATTGTGGTATAATACTTTCTATGGCTATAGTCACTACCCCGGGTAAACCTGGGGGAAGAGACCTTTTCCTTTATTGTAGCTAACCATTGTCCTTTTACCTTTACCACCTGATGTCACAAGTTGTAAAATTCTTTCTGTAACTTGAGTTTGAAGAGGGATAGAGCGTCTGAATAAGAAATTGGGAAATTTAAAAAACTGTGACTTAATTGATTGTGGGCCGGATTTGTAATAAATTTAGCTTAATAGTCTGCTTGCTCATTACCATAAGCACCAATGTGGGCTGGTGTCCAGAATAGGACTATTTGCTTGTTTTGAGACAGCAGGTGATACAACTCTCTTATTTTATATATAATATAGTTAGTTTTTGAATTTAATTGTGGATCTTGTAGTGCCATTAATAAACTTAAACTATCCGTTATTATAATCCACTTTGGATGAGTCTGTGTTTGAATGTGCTCCATAGCTGTGTATACAGCTATGGATTCAATGGAGAATATGCTTACGAGTGGATTCAGCCTATGACCGAATCCACGTTTGATCTGACTATCATAGACAGCTATAGAGACTGCTTCATTGTTCCTAGACCCATCTGTATACAGGGTGACTGGTGAATTACTATCAATATTTAAGGAGCATACTCGGTACATGATTCTCATTCAAATTATGTAAAAAAAATAGGTACTTAATTTTTGACCAAATTTCCGTATAAATAAATAAAGTGTGTACACGTTCCAAGTGTTCCAAGTGTGGACGTGTGCGGCAGCGTGCTGATACAACACTACGCCGCCGCCGCGTCTTTGTGAGTGTGTGTGTATACCTAATCTGTAGGGTGTTCATACGATGCGTAATTAATTACATAACTTTTGGTTAACTTTACTTAGAAGTTTATTAATATTTATGTTATATTAATTTTTATTTTGTCATATATGATCGTCAAATATCACGTCCTCAAATGTCGATAGTAATTCACCAGTCACCTGTATATCTGATGATTTCCCTGCAACCTATCAAGTTCCCTATAAATGTCTTCCTTATACTTTAGAAGACTTTTGACTATAATTTTAATCTGAATAAATTTTTATTCATATAACCCAAAGTAACAAGGCCATATCATGCTAGAAAAAATATTGTGTTTATTAAAAATTTGTTCTGTTTCAGAAAAACCGTGAAACACTTGAATTAATATTGGCAGTCCTGTTAATAGTGTTCTGCAGTTTAACAAGAAGAGGATGGTTACTAATGGAGAGCAACCTTGCAATAAATTTTGATTGTAAGTATTTAAACCTAAGTGCTAATGGAGGTATATTACATTCCACCTGCATTGACACTATGGGAGTAGTTCGCATGGCACCCATTATAATACGCAAACATTTATTCTGTATCTTTTTTAATTTATCTACTATAGTTCTTACCCCTGCAAAATAAAAAAAAGCATATTCAAAATGACTCCTAACTAATGATTTATGCAATGTTAATAGAATCCTTGGATCAGCACCCCAATATGTGCTTGTTAAAGATTTTAAAACATTACAAGCATTTAAAGCTTGAGATTCTAGAGTTTCAGCATACTTATTCCATCTAGAATTGTTTGTAAAAATAACACCTAAAAACTTTACAGAGCTCTCTACAGACATTACATTATTATTGAACAAAATATTTACATTCCTATTTCTAATTCCATTTTTTGAAAAGACAACAACTTTACTTTTTTCATTGCTGACCTCCAGCCCAAGGCTATCAAAATAGTTCTTTAGTCTTTGGAGAGCAACATTGAGGACTGATTGTACATGTAAAAAATTAGTATCAGAGCAATAAACAACTAAATCATCTGCAAACTGCAGATTAGAAACTTCACACCCCAGAGTTAAATTTAGCTGATGTATGAATAGGATAAAAAGCAATGGGCTCAATACACCACCCTGTGATACACACCTACAAGAATATCTTGGACCAAATAACTGATTGTTGACCTTAACAAACATCTTTCTGTAGTTCAACAAATTAAAAATCCAATTTATAACTTTTCCAGGTACCCGCAATAATAATAATACTGAGGATAATTTGTTCAGATCTACATTATTGAAAGCCCCTACAATGTCAAGAAAAACACCAACTAGTACTTTATTCTCGGAACGAGCATCGTGGATATCCAGACAGAAATGATGTAGAGTCTCACAAGCAGAATGGCCACAAGGAAAGCCAAACTGATTGTAAGGTAAAAGATTATTACTTTCTATGTGAAAAATTAATCTCTGTTTTATTAATTGTTCGAAAATTTTTCCAACACATGAACTCAGTTTAATAGGACGATAAGAATCAGCCAAATTAAAGTCTTTGCCAGGTTTTAATATTGGTACCAAACAGTCAGTTTTCCAATCCTCTGGGATAATAGAAGACGACCATAAACTATTTAATAAATTTAAAAGAATAGAAAGATTTTAAACGTTTAAAAGTTTAAACATTCTGTAGGAAAGTCAATCCAGGCCATGTGAAGAATCTTTTCTTGAGGCTAAAGCAGATTTTAACTCTTGCATAGTAAAACAACAGATCATGTATGAATTATCACTATTTACTCCAAGAACATAATCTATACTTATCTGTTGTGAAACAGCATCTGGTTTGTATTTATATAAAAATGTTTGAACCCAATTGAGGTCAGAAAATAAGTTAGAACTCGGAGAGCTTCTTTTGAATTTTTTTATTTTAGTCCAAATGCTATTTATAGATGTCAAACGATTTATTGATGAGCAGAATTCAGACCAACTTTTACAACGTCCTTCTTTTAAAGTGCGTTATTTAAAGGCTTGTGCGCGTTTGAAATTAATGTATTTTTTTCTATTAAGACTAGTTTTGAAATTAATGTAGGTGTTCTTGCAATCTTCTACTACTTTTGAACATTTATCATTCCACCAAGGTACTTGACACCTTTTTCTAGGACGGTTATTATTACTATCAGTTGTGTTATGGTTTAAGCTGGGCCCGGAGAATATGATTGCCAATAGAATAATTGCACAAAACTTTTTGTATGAGTCAAGCAGATCACTATTGTCAACTTTAAAGTTCATTAACATTTTATTAACAATTTGTTCATAACTATCCCAATTTACTAATTTCAGATTGCTGTGAAAAGGAATGTTGTTCAAGGAATTACAGTGTAATTGTGAACTTGCCAGTCACAAGAAAGAAATAAAGAAGAAGACACCATAGCCAAATCTAGACTGTTTGGTTTCCAAATATGAGAGCCTATAGTTGTTGGTTGACCATTATTTAAAAGTATTAAGTCATGGTCATTCATGGAATCCATAATAGCTCTGCCCCGAGAATCTATGCGACTGCAACCCCAAAAAGTATGATGTTCGTTACAATCGCCTGCAATTATCAACGGTTTTGGAATACTGTACAATAAACGATTGAATTTCGCCTTTTCAAAGGCAGGAAAACTATTACCAGGACTGTAAAAACTAACCAAAGAAATGCATTTATGTTTCAGTTTAATAACAATTACTACATTTTGTAACGAATCATCATAAAAAGTATCTAGTTTAGAGAAATGTATACCATTTTTAATTAATATTG